GCCCCTGGTGCCCATGGCCACTCAGGCCCTGCGGCCCCCTGGACAGCTGGCGGGGCGCCTCGTGTCTCCGGCGGTGCAAGCTTTTCCTCACGGCGGCGTGGGCCGTAGCGAGGTGAGGGGCTGGAACCGAGGGGAGGCAGGGAAGTCGGGTGGGGAGTCTTCCCTTCCTGATGATGATGATGATGATGATGATGGTCTTCCCCTCAGCTTCACACTCTGGAAATGAAGCCGCTGCAAGATTACAGAAAGCTCAACGGAATGGGGTCTGCTGGGGCCCGGCCTCCTCCTGCTGGAAGGTGAGTGCGAGGCCTCGCACCGCAGACATGAGAGGAAGGGGCCCCATCTGGTAAAAGTTTCTTGGGGTGGGTGTCGGTGCTGGATCAACCCTCAGCCCCTCCTGCAGCTGACACAGAAACAGGTTCCTCTTCCTCGGTGTAGGATTGGAGAATGCGCTGGACCTGCTCTTCCGTAGTTGGCAGCATCTCAGTCCTCGTGCTGCTCAGCCAAGAGCTGCTCCCTCCCATCCCTGGGCGCTCGCAGAACGACGGGAAGGGCCCGCCCAAGAGCCATAGGGAGCCTTGGCAACCGTAACAAGGGCGAAGCCCGTTTGCCCTTCCCTCGTGGAAGGAGATGCAGCGCAGCAGTTGCCTAGGGAGGCTGCAGGGGGGCGTGAAATGGGGCAGTCTCTGCTTTGGCAGGGATTGATTCTGAAGACCTCAGGATTGGCGCAGGTTACGAAGCATGTCCTGACAATAAGAACATCTTGACAGCAGATGGGGCTAGTCTCTTTCCTTGGCAGTGGTTAAAGACTGCCAGAGATCCTCAGATGTTCCATTTTGACAGGAGTTGTGAGTTGCTTATCCTTTGGCTCCTTTCCAGATCGACCGGTCCTCTTTGGTGCCTCGCTCAGAGGAGCTCCTTCTTGAATAATGGGGAATATAGACAAGCAGAGGCTTTATTTGCCAACATGTAGAAGTTTGTCTTTTCTGTTTGCTTGAGTGATGATCGCTTATTGTTGCCTTTAAAAATGCCTCCCTTTGGCGCTGCTCTGGTGGGTGCGCCAGAGAAGGCCCCAAAATCCAGAGTCAGTATAATGTAGCAGTTAGGATGGGGAGATGCTGGTTCAACACCCAGTCCTGTAATTTGTGGGAGGGTTGCAAAGTGATCAGCAGTTTATGAAGGTGAAAGGGGGGGGGAGGAAGAAGTTGGGGGTTTATCATCTGCCATTCAAGCAAAACTAGATGTCGTAAGCACGGGGGATTGGTTCAGGTGGTCACGCAGGATTTTTGCAAGTGAAACAGCGTGACGATGCCACTGTGCCTAGGATTTTATTGGTAGTTCGTCTGTTTTGGAGAAAGGCACAGAAATGTGTTAATCCTGCCTCTTTTTGCACTCCAGGAAGTACCAAGCAAGACGCAAGTCAGACACTGCAAAAGTCTCTGCAGAGAAGCAGGACAGCTCTGTGCTTCCTCTTCTTCACAGTTGAGATGTTATTTGTTCTCTTTCCTCTACAGGCCTTTCTCTGGAGGCTTCAATGCCAGGCTGAAATCCCCCGGGTCTGGCTACGGTGGCATTTTCCGTGCCCAGCGCTTTGAGGTCTACCAGCAGGTGAGGAGGAGGGCTCTGGCTGCAGAGCTAGCGGTTGGGGGTTTAATTCCCCGCTGTGCCTCCAGGAACAAGAGCCAGCCTGTGGGGCCTTGGGAAAGATGGCGCCCCCAGAAGAAAGGGATGGGAAGCCATTCATGTGTATTCTTCTACCCGGAAAACCTTGGAAAGGGTCACCCTAAGCCAGAACTGACTGGAGGGTGCATGATTACTATTATTATTAAAGGTGTGGGAGTCTTTGTTCTCTTTATTTGGGATGGGGTAAAAGAACGGTAGAGGTGACATATTTCTCTCCTGTTTCCTGCCCTCCCGCCCTGCTTGAACAGCCAGATGTCCTTCGCTGGAACCCCCGCTCTTGGGAGCGAGCGGCCCAACCCCGCGATGGAACGCCGGCCCGCCGTCTTGAGTCGGAGGCCCGCTCCCACAGCGACAAGCAAGACCCCAGTCTCTCCAACCACCACTAGCACATCCCTCCCTCTTTTGATTCTGTAAACCCCCCCCCAAAAAAAGGAATGGGTGGGAGGGCCCTTTTTCAGGGCCTCAGTCCTTCTCCTTCTCCCCCCCCCCTTTGGTGTATCCTGGACATGGGGTGTCTCTGTTACTCCTTTTCTGTTTGTGAGGAGGGTGACACTGGAATTTGCCCCCTCGGTTAGGGGTGTTAGGTAGACACTTAGTGCGGTGCTCAGTGTAATTGGGGGGAGGGGGCAAAGATCAGGATTTGGGGAGGCTCCCAGCTGAATGTATTTTTGCTTATTTCCTTTTTCACCTGAGTTTGGTTTTTTCTTTTTCTTTTTTTTTCCTGGCAAGGGCACGGTTGCCCTTTTGATCCGAGGGGGGAGCAGCTGTGAGATGTGGTGTGTAAATATATATATAAATATGAACATGTGGTGGTCTTGCCTCTTCCCTCTTCCGTTTATGGGAGCGGGACGAGGGGAGACTCGGGAGCCTGCCCTCCTCTCCTATCAATTTGCTCCCCTGAGTTTGAAATAGGAAGCGTTGAGTTTTTAAAAGGTGGTCGAGCTGGTTTGTTTAATAAATAAAACCAAAAAAAAAGTTGTTTAAAAAAACCAATAAAATAAAAAGTCAAACTGTTGGGTTTCTTGATGTGTTGATTTTTCTCAAAACTGCTTGCAGTGTGTTTCAGACACTTGTGGTACTTGATGGGATGTAACAGAAGCTGCAGAGCTCAGTTTTAATGGATCTACCCAAAGCGCGGAGTCAACACACCTCCAGACATGGTTCAAACTTTACCCATGGCAGCAGACGAGAAAAATGCTGGGTTTTACTCTCTGTTAGCAATTTTGCAAAAGTATAGATATATCCACTTCCAGTGAGAAAAAAACAAGTATGATTAATGCTTCTGAGTACAGTGGGGTCTCTACTTAAGAACTTAATCCGTATTGGAAGGTGGTTCTCAAGTTGAAAAGTTCGAATGCATTGAAAACCATTTAATCCGTATCTGCTCTTTTCCGTCCATAGAAACTACAGTGGACCCTCTACTTAAGAACTTAATCCGTATTGGAAGGTGGTTCTCAAGTTGAAAAGTTCGAATGCATTGAAAACCATTTAATCCGTATCTGCTCTTTTCCGTCCATAGAAACTACAGTGGACCCTCTACTTAAGAACTTAATCCGTATTGGAAGGTGGTTCTCAAGTTGAAAAGTTCGAATGCATTGAAAACCATTTAATCCGTATCTGCTCTTTTCCGTCCATAGAAACTACAGTGGACCCTCTACTTAAGAACTTAATCCGTATTGGAAGGTGGTTCTCAAGTTGAAAAGTTCGAATGCATTGAAAACCATTTAATCCGTATCTGCTCTTTTCCGTCCATAGAAACTACAGTGGACCCTCTACTTAAGAACTTAATCCGTATTGGAAGGTGGTTCTCAAGTTGAAAAGTTCGAATGCATTGAAAACCATTTAATCCGTATCTGCTCTTTTCCGTCCATAGAAACTACAGTGGACCCTCTACTTAAGAACTTAATCCGTTTTGGAATGGTGTTCTTAAGTTGAGACGTTCTTAAGTTGAAGCAAAACTTCCCATAGGAATGGACTGAAAACCAATTAATCCATTCTGGCTGTTTTTTTGTTATGTAGAGGTGCGTTCGTACACTGAAGCATTAGTTGCCATAGGAACTAATGCAAAGCTGGTTAATACGTACTCTACCACTAGGGGGAGAATTTTTTTTAACCTACGATGACCTAAGGTTAAAAAAAGAGAAGGAAAGTTTTTTTTCCTGTTCTTATCTTAGATTTCTGTTCTCAAGTAGAAGCAAAATTTAGCAAATGGAGCTGTTCTTAAGTTGGATTGTTCTTAAGTAGAGACCCCACTGTACTCGCTACCTATAAAATCAGGGAGTTGCTATCGCACTGCAGTGGGAAACAATTCCAGTGGCTTGGGCGGGGGGGATAAAAACTGCAGCTTCAGGCTTTAGAGTGAACTTGCTCTCTACTGGAGGGACCATGCAGGACACCCTGTGGCAGGCTGCATTGACCCCTCCCAGCAAAACAAGAGTGGTCAAGCCAGTGCCACATTTCCAAAAACAGGACACACCTTCCCCCATCCCAACAAAGAAAGAAATGGGCCTTGTTTTAGGGGAGAATCACACATACACCACCCCAAGAGCAGGATTTTCCTGGTTTGCTTTTTAAAAAAGGATGGCAGCAAAGGAACTTTCCACTCTTAATCTACAATAGCAAGGCAAGCGAATAATCATGTGCCATTCAGTCAGTCCTGACTTACAGTAACCCATTTCAGGGTTTTCTAGGTAGTGTACTCTCTCGAGACTGAAGGATGCCTAATCTAACTCAGAAGTGGTTTACTGTCTGTCCCCACCCCACTTTCTGGGGGTGCACTGGGACTATGCAGCTTGCCCAAAGCCACATAGGCTGGCTCGACTTCGAAGGCGGCACAGAAGGGAACTGACACCCAACTCGCTGAGCTACCAAGCCAGACTCCAGCTTCTCTTTCCCCAGAAGCAAGCTAGGTAAGGTAAAGGTTCCCCTTGACATTTTAGTCAGTCGTGTTCAACTCTAGGGGGCGGTGCTCACCCCCGTTTCCAAGCCGTAGAGCCAGCATTTGTCCGAAGACAGTTTCCATTGTCACGTGGCCAGCGTGGCTATACACGGAACGCTGTTTACCTTCCCACCGAGGGGGTACCTATTTATCTACTTGCATTTACATGCTTTGGAACTGTTAGGTTGACAAGGAGCTGGGACAAAGCAACAGGAGCTCACTCCACCATGTGGATTCGATTGTACAACTGCTGGTCTTCTGACCCTGCAGCACACAAAGGCTTCTGCGGTTTAGCCTGCAGCGCCCACCACATCCCTTCCCAAAGCAAGCTAGACCACATCAAAAGCACAAAAATAATACTGCCTTACCGTTGCCAGTAGTGGTGCTGTATATACATATCACATTTTACACCCTGCCCCGCCAAAAGTCTTAACAGCATTCAGAAATATTAACCTTAGCTAGAGAGGGGCCTACCCTTCTGCTGGTTTTATTTTAAAAGAAACATCAAACCCTTGTGAAAGCAATCGCACAATACAGATGGACCAAGGTGAGCGGACTGCAAAGAGACTTGAAACCAGAAGTGCAAACAAGGTCCTGGTCAAGTGGCTTTATTTCTTGATTTCAGCAGCAACTCTGGCCCTCCACAAGGGGAGAAAAGGTCACAGCAACCAGACAGGTGGGTCATGGGCGGGAAGGAACTTAAATATTTGGCCTGAGAAGGGAATGGCTGCCTGTATTGTGCACAAAGGGGAAAGAGGCAGGCCCTCACGAGGTGGAGCCTCTGGCCCGGGAAGAAGAGGGGGGGAGACTCCGGGTGGGCCGGTGGCCATTACGAGTCTTCGGCCACAAAGGCCTGCTGGGCATTGGGAAACCGCTGGGGAGAGAAGCTGGGGTCAGCCTGTAGCCGCTTCTGGAGATCAGATCTCAGCTGAAAGACAGAGAGAAAGCGATAACGAGGGACTCGAGCATCTGCACTTGAACAGACATCAGAACAAAGCATCTGTTTAGTCGGGGTGGCCGTCCTCACCTGTTGCCGGTAGCCTTCCTGCAGTGCTGGTTCAGCCAAATCTCTGTTCAGGCTCTCGGTGCTGGTCAGAGGTTTTACCCCGGCTACTTTGGCAGCTTTGTTGACGGCCTCTGACAGAAGCAGCTGTGGCCCATCACCCTGCATGGTCTCCAAAGCAAAGGAAGAGACAGACCTTGGGATTTGCCATCTGCCAAATGCCCCTGGGAGTTGGGGGGCAGCTGGGTGTTGACCAGCCGCTTCAGCCCTTGCCTCCCTCTTGAAGGAGGAAAAACAAGGGTCCCATCCATCCCAAGAGGGGTGCGTGCACTGGCTTCTCCAGCAGTGGGCCTGTCCTGCCCCCAAATGGCTCTCCCACCTTCGGCAACCCCGATGGTTCAGAGTCCAACCTGCCCTCTCTCCCAGAAGCAAACTTAATTTGTACAGGCTAGAGGCCGAATCAACCAAGACCTAGTCAGTGGATTCTCTACTGTGCAACCAGGTTGCAGCATCCTGATTAAAAAGCACTTCAGTTGTTGACCAATACTGGGTTCTTCAAAGGGGCGTCTAACCCTTTGGCTTATTTTTGTTCATTTCATCTACTCAAAAATAGGAGATTTAGTGTTTCCTGGTGGCCCCCGTTGCTTCCCTTTCCACAGGAAAACCAGGTCCTGGTGCTCCCGAGACAGGAAATGGGGGAGACAAGGGAGGAAGAAAAATCTGGCTGCTGAGATCAGGAAGCACCCACTGCCTTCTTCAAACACAACAGCAAACTCCTACACCCTGTCCACTTTGGGGTGGGCTGGGCTTCAGTTCTGATCTGCTCCCATTCCGGAGGAAGACTTCCCAGGGAGGAAGGCTGCCCACAGCAGTGGGGAGGAGAAAAGAGGAAGTCTCAGGAGCTAGAAGCCTCGAAAAAGCCAAACGGAAAAAAAAGAAAAGGAAAGGAAAGGAAAGAAAGAGGAGACGACCAGAAAATGAATAAAAGCAGTGTTTTTAAAGTTCAGCTGTCTGGAAAGAGGCCTCCAATGATGATATTCTACACAAAAATAATGCAGTGAAGAAAACGGGACAGCTTCTCTGCCTCTCTCTCACCTTGCGCCGCTTGGCGGGCATGCCACTCAGGTAGGCATCACTGAGGGGGGGTTGTTGCTTGAGCTTACGCTGGCTCTGGATGTCCTCCCGAATGATGGGCACCCACTCCTTCAGCAGGGAAAGGGGGAAGAGCAGAGAGATTCAGGGCCCCGTCAGCAAGATCTGAGCCCTCCCTCCCTCCCAGCCGTGGTCTCCTTCCTGCTCCAGACCCCCTTCTGCCCCAGGGAACTCACAGGGGGCACAGCAGCAGCCCAAGGCTCTGTGTCGGGGGGAGCGGGCGGCTCTCCTGGCTCCTCGTGCTCCGGCTCCCCCCGTGGTTGGGGCATGGCTTCTTCTGCCGTGGTGGCCGGGGCAGGAGAGGCTGTGCTGTCTCGCTGCAAGAGGGAGGGAACAGAGTGGAGGTGAACACACAGGGCACAAGGCCAGCCCTCCCTCCATCTCAAAGGGGTGGGGGGAGAAGACACCACGACTCATATCCCTTAGAGGAATCCTCTATCAAAAAGGCAGGCCAAGTCCTCTGAAATGCTCAGAAGCCAACACTGGCATGGGAGGATGGCTGGCACAGCTACCCAAGGTCCCACCACCCTCCCATCGCTTTCCCACCTCACACAGAGGCTGCTCTCGTGCCAGAGGCCTCACCCCACTCCATACCTGCAGGGTCTCCAAGGCCTGCTCCACAGCCTGGAACTCCATGGACTCTTCAGAAGCAGGCTGGGAAGGGGGGGGGACAAGGGAAGCAGAGGGTGTGTCAAATCCCAGGGAACCCTCTTCAGAAGCAGGCTGGGAAGGTCCTCCCCTTGCTTGAGAAAACCTCCTCCCATGCTGGCTAGAAGCCGCAATCCCACCCACCTCCTCTGCGCCAACCCTGACAACCAAGTGCTTCCTCCACCAGAGCTGGCAGCCAGGACCACATTTTGCGCACAGCAAAAACATTTCACGTCGCCTCTGAAGAGCTAACCAGCTCCGTACCGCCTTCCAGCGATGTCCTCTCTGTGGATTGCGCCCAAGCAACCATCCCAGTGGCACCGGTTCTGTTCTAGGGGATTCAAACTCCCAAAGGCACTGAAGCAGGACAACAGGCACAAGGCTTCCCCCTGAGTCCTCACCCCCCCCCCCCCCCTGCCCCCTGCTGAGCAGCAGAATCTGTCAGGGCACGGAATTTGCACTCTGTGCAAATCAACTATCTGTACCCTGTAGAAATCAACTGGCCTCTGGCACTTCCCACTCTTTCATCCCAAGCCTCAGCATCCACTGTTGGGTCCCACAGTCCCACGGTGTGCAAATCAACTATCCGTACCCTTTGGAAATCAACCGGCCTCTGGCACTTCCCGCTCTTTCATCCCAAGCCTCAGCATCCACGGTTGGGTCCCGCAGCCCTTACCTGGGGGGGATCGCCCACTCGGCGGACGTACTGCAGGATCTGTTCCTCCGTGACCGGCATGTGCTCCAGGATGACTTGCAAGCGCATGCTCATCATGGTGGTGAGCCAGCTCACCAAGGACGGGTTCATGTCGGCAGACATCCGCCTCTGAGGCCGCAACGGGCCAAGAAAGAAGAAGAAAGGTGTGTGGGTGGGCGGGGAGGAGCCATCAAGGCCATGACAGGAGAAATTGAACCGGCTGCTCCCCCATTAGCAACTTTCTCTTCTACTGCCCTTGCAATCCCCCCCCCACATGCCCCCTGGGGTCACCATTCCATTGAACCACCAAATGAAAGCTCACGCTCCGGGACTAACAGAAACAAACTGCTAGTCCTCAGACCAGGGAACAGCTCGAGAAAGCCGTGGAGCATCTTAGATGCATTCCTCCACGTGGCCTGTTCATTTCGCTGAGGCTGTTTTAGTGCCTTTCACAACTTCCACCGTATGGGTGACGAAATGAATTCTCACAGAAAGGAGGATGTACTGGATTCAAACAAAGGCAATTGTAAAAGGGGACATAAAGGAAAAATGGGAGACTCGCCATCCTCTGCTCTCTGCAAATCTACCTTAGGTAACTTGTGGAGAAGATACGAGCAAAATAGCTGACTCTCTCTCTCTCTCCGATTAAAATTTGGGGCGCTACCCACTACCTTCAAGGCCACAAGGACTGTCTCCCTGCAGCACAGGGTTGGTAAACTTCAGGCCCTGGGGCTTGATCATTTCCACCCCCCTTTCCTGCAACTCCTCTGTTCAGCACTTCTGCCTGTTTCTTCTGACAACGGTTGAAACGCCTTTTCTAAGACTCGGTGACTGGCAGAGAGGGCCTCGGACTGAAACCTTCTGGGTGTGGGGTCTTGCCCACCCTTCGGATGCTGCCCTCAAGAACTCTTCCCCCCTCCCTCCCTCCACCCAGCCTGGGAGATCTCTGCCTCCGCAACAGCCAGCTCTCCTGAACTGAAGGAAGCCGCTGGAAGTCCAGGCGAGAACAACTCACAATGCGGTCATTGATGACAGCGGTCAGAGCTCCCTGCTCCCCTCGCAGGCAGTAGAGGTTCAAAGCCAAGCACTCAAAAAGGCCTTGGTTGCACAGTTCCAGCAGCCGATACCCAAACGTGTTATCTGGAAGGAAAAGAAAAAAAGGCATCTGTCAGGCACTGGAGAGGGAAAGTCCACCAATCAGAACGTGGAAATGTTGGGGGGGGTTGATTGACTCCTCCCATGATCTCCCAGCTGTCATGCCTGCTGGGGAATTCTGGGAAAAATAAGCTAGGAAAAAGAACTCCACCCCTCCCCTCCCCAGCTTTGCCCTTAAGTCTGTCCTCTCCTCTCCTCACCAGTGCAGTGCAAGATGTGTGTGGCTATGCGGTTGAACTGTTCTTGCAGGAACTCCAGGTTGGTGCGGGTGATGTCAACTCCCTCCTGAACTCGGACGGATGCCTGTGGGAAGGGGGGGGAAATCAGCGGGGCAGAAACTGACACGAAAGAATCTCAGTGGAAAACAGCCCCCGGGGGGTGTGTGTGTGTGTAGAATTCAGCTTCATGGGAAAGTGGGGTGACCGATCCCAATGATATACATGGATGGATTGACAGAAACAACTTGCTTTTGAAGGTTTCGATCACAAGACATCAAATTGAGCACAACACTTTTCTAAATGGGAGTGAATTCCATAGAAGACAGTTTTCAGCCATCAAATGTTTGGCGGGCATTAAGGAGAACAAGATATAGCCCAGCCCCTCAGGAACACAATGCTCAGTACAAAAAAATGCAGCACTAGGTGTAAAATAGAGTGTGAGGTAAGAAGAAGTGGCCCAGAAAGATTTCCAGTTCTTAGGAGCATGTTACCCCCTCCCATGGATGCCAAAAATCACAGATAATAGTGACTCCTACATATGACATAGCCTCCGATTCCCTCTAGTGACCAGTTCCAGTAACTATATCATGCAGATATATATTTCTAGGGTTGTTGGGGTTTTTTTTTCATTTAATATTTTCAGACCGTGAATAAGTGAACCAGTGGATAATGATACTGCAGATACCATGGTCCTACTGTATCTGCAGGGTGGAGTATGAAACTTACAAAACTCTCGCGGATGTACTCCTCCAAGCCGTTAATCAGACTATACGTGGCCATCTGGAAGAGCCAGAAGAGAAAGAGAGGCGGCCATTAGCCACTGGAGGCACAGTGGAGGCGAGGCGGACCCACGAGGGGCAGGGGGGTGGCACAGTCCTCTCACCCGGACGTTCCGTTCGGTGGGCTCCTGGCCGTGCAGGTACTCTTCCCGGAAGAACCGGCTCAGCTGGGGCTGGATCCGCTGCAGGGGTTGGAACTGCCCGTGCAGCAGCATCACCATGTCCACCATGGAGAAGTTCTGGCAGATGAGAGAGAGCAGATCCCCAAAGAAGCCTGGAAAGGAACCACAGCCAAGGGCAACAGACATAACAACGAAGGCCTACCCAAGCCCTAGAGCTACCAAGGCTACCCACAAGCCACCCGAGAGGCCTTTCAGGCAAGCTCTTAAAAAAAACATCCCTGCCTTTGGGGGGTCCCTAGATTTCCCCTTATTTATTAGAACTACTCAGCTGGAAGGGACCCCTTGGATCATCAGGCCCAGCCCCCATCAAGGAGGCACAGGGGGAGAATCAAACCCCCAACCTCTGTCTCTGCAACCAGAGACCTGAACCACCGAGCTATCTAGCCGTGCCCTTGCGCTGAAGAAAGGCATGGACCGCTCATTCTCATACTGTTGTATTCCTGCTGTTTTCCCGTCTGTTTCTCTTGGGCTCTACCAGCACCTCACCTTGGGAGAATTTTCTCTAGGGCAGAAAGGGGAGACCCGTGCCCCTCTGGATAGGTCTGACCTACCGCTCCCATCAGCCCTAGTCAGCAGTGAAGTATGATAGGCCTGAAGGTCCACAGTGCCTGACCTCCTGCCTTTCCAAGGTGGCTTACAAGTCTTGTCAACGGACAGAACTCTCCACTCTGGTCTTCTGGAAGACCCAAGAGGGACCACGCCATAGGCGCCACCACAAGCTCAGGGACACAAGGCCATAGAAAGGCCAAAGCAAAGGGAGGAGAGGGAGCCGCCATTCCTCTGCATGAGGCTCCCCCCAACCCCGGGGGAGGAAGAGCAGCGAAACAGGTCAAACCAGGAGGTGATCACTGGATGCACTGCCAGGCCATGTCACTAAGACAGACAAGGGGCACGTTTCTGGAAAGGCTAGCAAGACACACACACACTTTTAATTGTGAGGCCAAGAACAACCCACAGTAGATGCTGGGAGATGAAACCTGACACCCAGGCCTGCCAGAGCGGTCCAGGACAGCCTTACTGACTAATTCCTTATCTCTAACACCAAGAAAATAAACACAGTCTTGGCTGAAAGGGACTACAATCAAGAAAATACAGTGATGCCTCACAAGACCAATGCCTAGCGCAACGAAAAACTCACAAGACGAAAGCATTTTGCATTTTTTTTTTGGTGACTCGCAAGATGAATTTTTCTACGGCTGTGCTTCGTAAGACAATTTTAAAAAAATATTTTTAAAATAAAATTTCAAAGCATTCCTATAGGAAACCATGCTTCGCAAGACAAAATTTTCGCAATACGAAATGACTCGCAGAATGAATTATTTTTGGCTTGCGAGGCATCACTGTAAAATACTTTGAAGATATAGCCCCACAAACTCCCCCTGAATTCAGGACCCATGTACCAGGCAGATCGTGACCCATCCATCCACCTAAGCAAGGCCCTTAGCCCTTACCAAGCGCGCCTTCGGTGCCTGGTTCAAAGATGTTGCTGGTGCCACTCAGGCGCTGGATGAAGTCGGCGATGCTCTCTGTGCTGCCCTGCTGGGCACTTAGGGAGCCCATCATGGAGGATAAGACGCCCTGGACCACGCTGGTAAAAAACTCTGGAGGCAAGGCATCTGCCGAAGCACCGCTGCGCAGGCCTCCCCCTCCGCCGCCTCCTCCTCCACCCCCCGTCGGAGCGTCGGGCCCACTCTGGGGAGCTGAAGGCGGGGGAGGCGGGGGTGGAGAGGCTGTGGGCTGGGGTGGAGGTGGGGGAGCTTGTTCGGGAGGAGGTGGGGAAGCAGCGCCCATCTGGGTTGCCTGAGGAGAGAAAGGGAGAGGGGGAGGTTAGGGCTTGGGAGAAACTCTCAGAAACACCTGCAAAGCTTTCTTAGAATCAGAGAACCATGGAGTTGGAAGGGGCCTAGAAGGCCATTGAGTTCAACCCCCTGCTCAAGGCAGGAACTCAAATCAAAGTATATCTGACAGACAGCTGTCCAGTTGCCTGAGGAGAGAAAGGGAGAGGGGAGGTTAGGGCAGATCTGAGAAAAGAGTGTCCGGTTTTCTCTTGAATGCCTCCAGTGTCAGGAGCGCTCACCACTTTCCGAGTTAATTGGTTCCATTGTTGTACTGCTCTAACAGTTAAGAAGATTTTTTCCCTGATAGTCAGCCTAATTCTGGCTTCCTGTAGCTTGAGCCCATTATTACATGTCCTGCACTCTGGGATGAACTGAAAACAGATTCTGTCCCTCCTCAGGGATTTAACTAACTTTCAAGCCACGTTCCCTCTAATTCTCCAGAGCTCCGCGCAAAGTTCCAGCCACAAACGGAAGCAAATGGGCAGATACACTCGCTCGGCTGTCCACACCCATTAGAGCAGCGTGCTCCTGTGCGCCAGCACAGCCTAGCAGAAATGCTGCTTTCAAGAGTTTAATGGACTGAAAGGTGTCTTCCCAAAGTTCTAAATTCATTAAGGGAGGCCCATCTTTCCACTCCACCATCTGCACAGGCCCTGTTAATAATGACACTGCATTTTGGGTGGCAGTGCCAAGACTCTGAAATGCCCTTCTAAGGAGAGGCTGGGTCACCTCTCCCCCTGGTGTCCTGCTCCCCACAAGGCAGAGACCTTTCTCTTCAGGCAAGGTTATACATTATTGAGAACAAAATATGGTTTAAAAATGGGGGGGATNAAGCAAAGCATGCTCACCTGAAGGAACTCGGTCACGCCTTGCAGTAAAGCCGGGACGCCTGGCATTGCCACAGTGATGGTGGGGGAGCCCACCCCGGCCACTCCGGCCACACCGGAGCCGGCCGCTCCGAAAATATTCCCCAGCAACTGGGAGAACTGGAGCTCCGCGGTGGCTGTGGGAGGCTGGCCGGAAGGGATGGGCCCTCAAGCATGCTCACCTGAAGGAACTCGGTCACGCCTTGCAGTAAAGCCGGGACGCCTGGCATTGCCACAGTGATGGTGGGGGAGCCCACCCCGGCCACTCCGGCCACACCGGAGCCGGCCGCTCCGAAAATATTCCCCAGCAACTGGGAGAACTGGAGCTCCGCGGTGGCTGTGGGAGGCTGGCCGGAAGGGATGGGCCCTCCGGGGGCGCCCGCTGAGCTGCCCCCGGCGGCGGTGGTGGCGGTGTTGGTCGTGCCGGCGCTGGCCGAGGCTGTGGGAGGAGAGGCCGAACTGCTGGAGCTGAAGGTGGCCTGGGTGCTGACGGAAGAGGTGGCGGATGAAGAGGTCCCGCTGCCCTGAGCTGGGGAAAGGAACACAGAGGCCGTTGCGAGGGAGAGGAAGGAGAAAACGAAGCTGCTCCTGTTCTATCAGAGGTCCAAGACGTATTCAGGGCACGATGGGCGGGACGACTCCCTTTCTTCTCCAGCAAAATCCCTGGCTGCAGAACCATCCCTTCCCAATAATCCCCTACAAGTAGTCACATCCGGAGTTGGCTAAATTTTCAGAACGACCCCCACCCCACCCCACCCCCGCTTGCATTTCCAAACCCTTTTCTCCACTGGCCCGATCAAGATATTTTCCACTATCCGCAAGCAGCGCCCCAATCTCTTGTTTTTTTTTATCCATCTCAGTGCTTTAACTCCAGGAGACCCAAACTCATTAAGAGTGTTTCTGAAGCCTTTTCCGGATCTAACGCAGCCCGCTGTGACTCTGCTTGCTCCAAAGGGACTGAACCACAATCCCCATCATCCTCAGTCAATATAGGAAGGTTGGGGGAAGCGGTCTTCAGAATCCAGAGCCAGCATGCCCCCGGGGGGGGGGTCAGAAGAGGCTGGGGATTCCCGAAGACCAAGCTCCAAAAGGTCGCTTTTTTCAAGCCTTGAGAATCTGGCCTTCAGGTGGTGACCCAAGTGTTTCCCTGAGTGGGTGAGTGGGTGAGTGAGTGGTAAGGTAAAGGTTCCCCTTGACATTTTAATCATTCGTGTTCCACTCTAGGGGGCGGTGCTCATCCCATTTTTCAAGTCGTAGAGCCAGTGTTTGTCCGAAGACAGTTTCCGTTGTCACCGTTTTACCTTCCCACCGAGATGGTACCTATTTATCTACTCGCATTTACATGCTTTTGAACTGCTAGGTTGGCGAGGAGCTGGGACAAAATGACGGGAGCTCACTCCGTTGCGTGGATTTGATCTTACGACTGCTGGTCTTCTGATCCTGCAGCACACAAAGGCTTCTGCGGTTTAGGGAGAGGGAGATCCAAAGCACACCTTGGGGAAGCCCTGCCCAACACTCGGCAACACTGCCCTTCCGGTTTCGCCACTTACCTACTATGACTGGCTGCATAAGGAGTTGACCCACCAACCCACTGATCATCTGGGCCAGAGAAGCATTCCCACCAAGGCTGGGACCCTGCAAGAGGAGATGGCTAATTTTTTAAAAGGAAAAGTTTTGCTCTGCATTGCTGCCACCACGACCCCTCCCCCCAAAAAAGAAAGAGCCTTCCCTGCCAACCCCCCCGCCCCCAACTGGCAAACCCCTCTCAAACCCTCACCCCTTGTCCCGGGGCCTGGGGCGACCCCGGATGCGTGGGCCGGGCAGAAGGAGCAGAAGGTCTGGCAATCACAACGCGGGTCGGCGGGGACTGGAAGCCGGGGCCTTGCTGGCCTAAAACACGGGGGAAAAGGGGGGAGGAGGCTGAAGGTCTGTCCTCTTCAGAAGAGGCACCCCAATGGGGAAGGGAATCCAGGGTCACCTCCCAAGACCCATCAGCCCTGCCCATACCTGAAGCCGCGGAGGCAGCAGCGGCCATGGCCTGCTGGGTTATCTGGTGGGCCACCGCCTGCATGAACTCTGGCGGGAGGCTGGGAAGCGGCATATGGGCAGCTCCGCCTAGAGAGGAAATGACGTATACCCAGAAAGGGTTAAAGACAAAGAAATGCATTCCATTCATATTTCAATTCGCACTTCCAAAATCAGTACACAGAGAGAGGTGTCCAAAACTGGACTTTCTCAAACTTGGTCGGGGGAAACGCATGTGTTTCAAACCACGCCTAGAGAAAAATGCAAATATTGGGGGGTGCAGGGTGGGCAGAAAAATGGCCCGCAAAACAAGGCACACTTCCAAAATCATAGAAACACAAAGACGAAGGTTTGGAAAAGAAGGTGTCCCAATGTATGGGTTCCCTATCCGGAAAGTTTAAAATGTGCACATAATTTGAAAAAGGCACACAAAGGTACCCACGAATTCACCAACCAAGGCAGAAAAGTTGGACAGAAAGACCTTGGTAAAAAAATAATAATAATGAGAATCTGGGCTGAAATGAGATTTGCCCATTTCCTCACGCTGACCGGTGGCCCAAACAGAGGGGCCTACACACAAACACTCTTTCTCTGCCCAGACTCCCCCAACCGCGGGGGGGTGGTCCCTCTCCCTTTCCCCCTTACCCATTCCTGGGGCATGGGGAGCTTGTCCACCTGCTCCCGTCGAGGGCACTCCGCCAGAGCCGCTCCCGCCCATCTGGGAAGCAGAATCTAAAGAGAGAGAAAGCAAGGCAACAGCTGATGAAGAAGAAAGGCTGGAGCCCAGGCAGCAGCAGAAAAACGGCTTTGCACGCAGACCACCCGGGGTGTTATCTTGGCCGCCTCCAGGCAAGGCTGGAAAAGACTCCAGCCTACGATCCTAAGGAGCTGCTGTCACTTAGAAGAGGCTGGAGGACACCAAGCAATAGGGACCAAGGGTCTCTATTCGGTTCTCAGGGAGCTTCAGGCACCCCTAAAACCACAATATAATGAAAATGGAAAATATAAATGGTTCTCCAAGACCAGACGCAGTGGCTGGAGAGCCAAGAACAAGGGAGCGTCACTGACTTCAGGGTCTGGAAAAATCACCTTAGGAGCCATCGGGGCAACAGAAAGGTGGGCCGAGGCAAGCTTTACCCACTTCAAGCAGGACTGTGCTTGCGCTCTTGCCCCCCAATTAATGATCCTACTCCATAGACCAAAAGCACTTACGCAGCCCCTGACCTGATGTTATCTCAACTTTTACACCAACCTTGCAAGATAGGTCAGTGGCCGCGCCGGCGCCGTATTCCCTATCGACTGCAAGAGGTTCAGTGCAGCTTTGCTGAAGGGGATGGGCAGCGAGCTTATGAGCCGAAACGAGAGCCCAGAGTAGGTGAACAATGCCCACACTTACATGGGGCAACCGGAGAGGGAGGGCCAGTGACCTCTGAGAAGAGCCTAGGAAGATGTGTGGCCCATCTACAAGGTACATTTGACCTGGCCCCTTCCACCACCACCACCACCCCCAAACCCTGCTACCCCTTAACCCTTTCTCCAAACCGCCCCACAAACCAAGAGGACAAACAGGTCCCCCTTTGCCCCCTGGCCTTTCCGAGGGTCCTACAAACCAGGGGCCCCGACGGGAGAAACCCTCACCCTGGATGTTCATGTGCATCATGACTACAGGTTCCACCGTCTGATGGGAGATGCGGATCACCCGGGGGTGGCCCGTCTGCGAGGCCTGGGTCTGAGTAGGGGTGGCCCCTGGGGAAGAGGCGGGGGGCGTCCCTTCCGATGGCCGTCCCGTTTCTGCAGGGCTGGAAGTGCCAGGCGGGGCAGGAGGAGGAGGAGGAGGAGGAGGTGCCTGGGAAGCTGCCGGGGAGGCTTCTGAGCTGGCCTGGGCAGACCGTGTCCCGTTGCCCGTCATGGTGACGGTGGTTCCGACGTTAATCTGAGACAAGAGCAAGCCACAGAACGGTGAGACACAGCACGCCTCCGGATTCACTCAAGAACTTGGGAAATTTCTCTTTGGAGGGAAGGGGTGAAAACTCCCTACAATCCGGCAGCCATGCCAGCTAAGGGACGATGGAAGTCGTCATCCAAGAAAACGAGCTTTTCCAAGCTCCATTTCTCTCTTGGTTTGCTGGAAGGCCCCAACTTAGAGACCTCCAGCCATGGCCAGAACCAGTTTCCAGCTCCGAGAAAGGGAAAAGCCCCAGTCGGTATCCTGTGACGATGGTCGCTCACCTGGATGGGGATGGCCGCCTGCTGAAGGACCATGGGGGCCGTGTAGTGGGACATGGGCCGCACCACGTGGAGGTGGCGGGGAGCGCTGCAGGAGAGGTTGCAGCGCAGGTCTGAGAGGGCCACAAAGGTGTTACCCAGGAGGCGCAGAGACTCTCCCACCAGGTTGATAATCCGCTGGTCTTCCTCACGGCCTTCAGTCTGGCAAGAAGGAAGCAAGGATGGTAAGAAGAGCAGCCACAGATTCCAGATTCCACCAGGATCTCCTCCAGCAGGGAAAAGGCTCTTTCCAGTGTGTCAAAACCCAGCCACCAAACCAGCGTCAGAGTCAATCCCACACCCGCAAGGCTACTTATCCTATGTTACTTCATTTTATTAGTAGGTCCTGCAGAAAAATATAGGACAAACAGGCCCTGAAGGAACAGCTTTGCTGTCTAAGAGACACAACAGACAACAAAAGAGACTCACAAGCAAGAAAACTCAAATTTCTAAAACACATGTGGAAAACAAAGAGAACTGAGTCTAAAGATGGCCCATGAGTGCAGCACTGCTGATGAACCTAAGCAAATACAGAGCCGCCTAGATCCTGATTGGGACATCATTAGAAATTCCATATAAGAATGTTATTTTTATTGTTATTTTACTTCTACACCATACTTCTTTGAATTCGGGGACACACGGCAAACTCACAAATTAATTAAAAGACCAAACTACTTGAAAACACAATAAACATTTACATTTAAAAAATAATTAAATGTAAGTATTAAAATAACCAGTTAGAACTGTTTAAAAAACGTAATACGCAGTGCCCGGTCAGTTTTTCAAAGTATTGTTTTCACCAGCAGTACTTTTTTTTTTTTACTATTAAAAAGGCTTCTCCACCGTCCTGAGGTTCCCAAAGGCAAAAAAAGGGAGCCTCGGAACTTGAAAAGGATAAGATAGTTTAAATATTTCCACCACTCCGATCCAATTCCCATCGGCAGAATAATGCCAACAGGGTTTTCGCCCAATGACTCAAGCCAGGGATCCCTCCGGCTAGGGGCCAACGCTGACGGGCATCCGCTCTCCGGGGACTCACGCTCCATTCTGCCCTAGGACAGGATGCAGGGACTGGAAGCTGGAACCACGCGGCTCTCATCAGAACGGCCTGACGAGGCTTAACTTCTGAGAACAGACGGGACTGGGTGCATTCAGAAGCGGGACGGGGGGGGAGAGATGTTTCCAACAGAGCACAGAGCAAGGACGGTGGTGCGTGCTTTCGCTGACGCAGAAAACAATGTGCCGCCACTTACGTTATTGTTGTAGTCAGCGGAGCCCGCGGTGCCCAGGATCTCCTCGTATCTCTGCAGGAACGGCTGCAGCCTGCTCTCCACTCCCCGAAGCTCACCCAGCACCTCCACATACTCGCCTGGGGAAGGGTGGCTACCAGGGAAAGAGAGGAAGTCGCTCAGCTTCCGCTCTGGCTCCACGCCTGCCCCCTGCAGCCAGACTCGACCCCTCCCCATTCTCCTTACACTTTGCCCCTCCACAATCACTACACTGCCTTCCTCCAAGGGATGTGAAAAGGCCTCCATCTGACGTCAAATCCCACCTGATCCCCATCTTTGCCTTCTACTAGACTGTGAGACAGTTGCTGAAATTTTGTTGTTTAATTATGCCTAAACTGCCTAATATTCAGCTACTTGTAGCTGGCAATTAACTAGTCCCTGCTGGGATGCTCAAGAACACACCAAGTCAGCAGGGGGAGGCACATCTCCCAGGAATCTCAGCAGCGACCCATTAATTGCCAGCTAGAAGTGGCTGAATGCCACACTGCCTTCTGCAGGTGTAACTAAGCACCAGGATTTCATCCTTCATGTTGTTTTTGGTGTGGAAAAATGTAGGAATTTTTCCTAATGGGTGCCTCTGTTCACACACCTTGCCTCCTTTATAAATCTCCCCTAGTTGTTCAGATTCATATTTGTGAATATTTCTTCCCCAACTGTGCGTGTTTCACCCATTCATGTTTCAAAATTTGCACACTGCAGTTGAATAAAATGCTCTGCTTAGTTTTGCAAATGTGCCAATTCTTTGGGTTTTTTCTTCTTCCAGCAAGTCCCAAGAGACAATGAAAAGATTAGGTAGGTCAAGAAGCCTGAATCCAATGGAATTCTCTTTTTTTCCCCAACTCTGTCCTGCACCAAGCACCTATTAAAGCTCCCTCTGCCATTCCAGGGGCCAGCAGGAACAGAGGTGCTGCAAACACCAAGGGAATTGGCCTCTGTGTGAGTCTCAGCTTTTCGCCACTGTTGAGAAGAGGTGCCTGCTCCTTACTTGGGGGCAGCAGCCTCAGCTGCAGGGGGTGGCTCAGTCTCAGATGGGGGCGTCTCCTCCGCCACTGTGGGCTCACTCGGGGGCTCAGATTCCACTCCCTCCATTGGCGTCCGTTCTGTAGGGCTTGCTGACGGTGTCTCACCATCTGGTGCCAACGGGGCTTGGCCGTTCGTACGGCCCTGAAAGACAAGAGGTTGGAAAAGTTCTCTCTTTTTTTTGGCCAGTGACCATCCAAGCGGCACGGCCAGTGGGGAACTCCAGGAGTTGCACTCTTTTCCCACACTCTTAAGTTGCACCCCCTCCCTCCAACCCCACAAGGTCAGAGTCCTGCTCACCTCTAGCCGGTTCAGGATGCCCTGAATGTCCCGTAACATATGCTGGGCCATCACAAGCCTGACGCGGGGCTCACTCTGCAAAAACAGGAGAGGAAATGGCCCAGATAAAATCACAGGCCCATCGTGCCAGAATCACACTCTCCCCACCACCAACAACTATAACAGGGGCTCGTTTAGAATCACAACCACACCCAGACAGACCTTCTCTTTTCTACTGACTGGCTGGGCTCAGGGTGTCTTGTCTCTTTCCTCCAGAAATGGAAGCTGAATCCATTTAATCCCCTGAAGTTTTCCAATTCACCCCTAAAACTGTGATTCTCAACTTTGGGCCCCCAGATGTTCTTCGACCACGACTTCCAGAAAAGGGGCTCGTTTAGAATCACAACCACACCCAGACAGACCTTCTCTTTTCTACTGACTGGCTGGGCTCAGGGTGTCTTGTCTCTTTCCTCCAGAAATGGAAGCTGAATCCATTTAATCCCCTGAAGTTTTCCAATTCACCCCTAAAACTGTGATTCTCAACTTTGGGTCCCCAGATGTTCTTTGACCACGACTTCCAGAAGTTCTAGCCAGCAATAGGTAGTGGTTTAGGCTTCTGGGAGTTTTACTCCAAGAACATCTGGAGACCAAAGGCTGGGAACCACTGCCCTAGACTCTGTCATAGGAGGAAGAGTTTCCTACACAGAGGAGGAGAACGCTGGCTATTTTGGAGTATGCCTCTCAGAAGCCCACACCCAGCAGGGCCGTTCCGATGGGAGAATTCTGAGCGCGGCCATCAACCTCCCAAGCTCTCCTTTGGCCCCACATCACACAATTTGACCCTCTAAGCCCATGGTTAACGGCTTGACCAGCAAAGCCTAGATTTTGGTCTTTTTTAAAAAAAGAGACAGAGATGCTGGGGACTGAACCCAGGGCCTTCTGCGCACATGCAAAACATTCACTCTATCATCTGTTCCCATCATCACAACTGCAGTTCCTCTCCCGGTCTGCGCCTCTACGTTTTTAATTTGCACAAAGCTCAGAAAAGTTGCCACGGCTCCCAGAATTCCGTGGGGCTGACTGGGACATTCTGGGAGGTGTGGTGCAAAAATCATTGCTTTTCTAAAAGCTGAATTTGGGAGACAAGGAATACTGTTAATGAGACAAAAAAAAGGGGGGGGAGGAGGCTTCTCTGCACCATGTCGTTCAAGGGCTTTTCCCCCCTGAGTGACACAGCCCCCACTATCCTGAGGTGTGGCTGAAAACAACCGAAAACATTTCCTTCGGAGAGGGGGGAAGCATTTGTTTTAGAGGTACACTTAACGGATTTTAATGCACATTGCCTTCCGCTGTGTTTTCATTCCACAAAACCACGACTGATTGTTTCTCTCAAAAACTCTTAAACCCTCTCAAAACGTCTTCTGTGACCTTCCTGAGAATGGCTGAGATTGAGCAAAGGAGGTGGAGGTAAGCCCAAGAATACTTGGGATGCCATCCTTTGGAGATACGGCCAGGTCAAATTCCGCTGAAATAAAACAGTGAGCCATTTAGCGTCACTGGTATTTCTTTTAGGGGACCTCAAACTGGGGACATTCCTGGCCAGCCTTGGGGAGGCTCGCTAGAACTCGTATCCATCCGTCAAATGTTGTGTAACAAGAATCGTGGGTTTCCAACAAGGAATGACTGGAACTAAATCAGTACAAAGGCTGACGACCTTCTAGAAAGATCTGGCCGCTCCTAGAAGTCTTGCATAGCACTTTGCTCACACACTGCTCTCTCCAGAAATGTCACTGACTCTGTGGCACCGCAGTTTCCTAGACTTGTGTGGTTGACCGAGTGTACACACTGCCTTCTGCTTACCAAAATATTGCCACCATGTAAGGGAGAGTGGTCTGCAGACCCTGGTTCTTTTCCAATGAAGAAAACCAGGATGTGTGTGTATTTCTCTGTGTGTGTGTTTTCAAGGGAAGGTAAAATGAGTTACCTAACACAGCAGTCCTGGAAAAAGGAAATGTGGGAAGGAAGGCTCTGATGTGGGGAGAGAAGCATGCTTTGATCAGCGGGTTGGCACCCTTCCCAGCAGTGTGTGTGGCAAACAAACACAGAGGCATGCCGTTTTACCCCTTGTGCTCCCCATGAGTCTTCTCTGTGGGCATCCTGGCAAAGGGGCAGTGGTAGCGAGTGGAGCAAAAGGAACGTGCATGCAGGACCTCCAAGCACAGGAGTGCTTGTGGTGCGGCCGCCACACGTCTCCCGACACAGCTCAGGTAAAAGCTCACTTGCCGGCAGGACTACAAGCCATGCCGGCCGGGGTGTGTGTGTGTGTGTGTCGGAGAATCGTTTTTCATGGATGTCACTTTTCCAAGCTCTGCCAGCCCATGCCAAACTGAGGCTGAGTGGCCAGCATCAACCTAGGCCATGGCAAGGTCATGCGGGTCTGTTTGCTGTGGGCTTTTCTCCCGTTTCACAACACTGGAAGGCAAAACTGAGGCAGCACTAATTCACCATATTAAGAATACTAAGAATAGTAACCTTAAAATTGTAAAGCTGGAAGGGAGACCCTGTGGCTTATCGAGTGCGGCCCCTCTTAAGGAGGCCCATTGGGGAATCGAACTCCCAACCTCTGGCTCCACAGCCAGAGACCTAAATCACTGAGCTATCCAGCAGCTCATATCCATAGGGGAGGGAAGGGCTGAAAAGCGCTCTGGACAAAGGGAGGTGAGGTGGTCTGCTCCTGAATGAGGCATAGATATTGCATGTGGACGCAGGCACACACACACACACAAACATATATGCAGGGATGGGGAAGCAACAATCCCTCGTTTCACACACCTCAGTGCCGCAGAATTCATGACTAGGGCCAAAGAACGACATCGCCCCGCCTGTCCATTGGCCTTGGCCTCGGCCCCCTGGACACCCAGCCCCACCTGAAGGTTCAGCCTTTCAATGAAAAACCATGATTCTAAAATGCCCAGAAATTCTGGAGAGCCTCCATCTCAAAAATTGCCACGTGCAATATCTATGCCAACTGGTTATAACAATCACCAGCAGTCCCTTTGGAGGACACGAATCTCCCCCCAACGACAGCAAGCAGTGACATGTGGAGTTTATGCTTGTCTGTGAAAAGCCAATTTTGGAGCTAACAACCCCCCACCCCAGACACCCTGGCCAGCACGGCAAAGGACTATGACAGCTGGGAGTTGTGGTGGTCCCCAAAAAGGTTACTTTTCCAAACTCAAATAGGACCCATTTGTAAGCCCACATCCAAACACACACACACACACAAAGGCATATCACACGTGATCCCTCAAGTCTTAGCCCAGTCCATTCCAGCCTTCCCACTCCATTTGTACCTGTATGGGAGCCTGGTCCATATTTATATGAACGTCCACAGACGATCCATCGCTCTTTGGAAAGCAGGGGGTGAGAAAAGGAGAATGGGGGAGGCGGAATTAAAAATACCAAAAAAAGAAAAAGAAAAAAAAAGAAACAGAAGGGGAGAAGTAGACAGAGAAGAGAAAAAACAAAATGGAGCAAAAAAGAAAGGCAAGGAAACCTAACAGATCCAAAGACTGTATTGTCCAAATTTCTTCAAACCTTTCAAACTCTCTTTCCAACGCTAAGAGAAATAAACACCAAAGACATATATTGGCGTTTACTCCTTTTTTATATAAGAGTTGTATTCTCCCAGCTTGTATTCCCACCCTGCAATGCTGTACACCCTGGCCATCCACATTCTATGCTGGGAAAGAAGAAATGGGAGTGTGCAGACACACTGAAACCCTAAGTAACTGCTACATTTTGTTAGTCACTGAAAAGGTGATGAGCTCAAACCTGACACATGTGCAAGCACCAACCACCTCCGCTTACCCTTGGACTTCTAAAATTTTAGCAAAAAAACGTGCAGACATTTTTAACCATCATGTCATAGCTGTAAATAAATAATAAAACAGAAGCTAGGCTGCATTTACCTGCACTCCTATGGAAACATATAAGCCCTGTTAATATAACCACAAGCATAGGATCACAGAAGATCAACTGGATCCCACTTAGCTATATTTTGGAAAGACACCAGAGCTTGGCTGGTTTTGACTTTTTCATGGCAATTTTTTTTTTTTTAAAGCAAGTGGACCAACCGAGGTTGTTAACACAGTAGGCATGTATGTGGAAACAGGCACAGCTCAAATCCGTGGCGTTTCTTTCTAAGCCATGGAGGGCTGGGTTGCTGTTTGGAATACAGAAAGATGCAGCTTGGGAAAACTGATCCACCTTGTCATTCAAAGCGCATGAAAAAGCCAGCATAATTTCAGAAGCAGCACTTAATTTAACTCACCGATTCCCGCCCTGGCGCTGCCACCATCTCCCTCCAACTCCAAGACCCCGGCTTAAGATCATGCAGGCTATAGGTGAGATCCTATCCATCTCAAAGAGAGACATTCCCGCCCGTGCTGGTGGCTGGCAGATGCCCAGCTGAGACTGCCACTCTCTCCTCTGAATAAGGGACAGTGACCTTGAGGTCTCCCAAGCAACAAGACAGAAGGCCAACGGAGCTCCCACACCACTGGCAAGCCTGCCTGCCTCTCTGCTTCTGACCCGCCCCCCTTTCCATGCCACCGCTGGAGAACGGCTCATCCCAGCTGGCAAGAGAGAAAGGGGCCAGGCAACAGAATCAGGGAGGAGGGCACCTTTTCTATGGCCAAGATGAAAACGTGGGGGTGCATGCATGCCTGCATGCATTTCAGGTGTATCCCTGGGCATACCTTGGGCACAAGGTCCCAAGCCTGCAGAGATATGCAGCCGTGTGAAAAAAGAAGCACACCCTCTTTTTATTCTATGGTTTTATGTATAGGACATAATAATAACCAGGTCTTCAGCAGGTTTGAAAATTAGGCAAATACAACCTCAGATCAACAGCAACACGTGACCTATTGCACTGGGTCATGACTTAGTTTACAAAAGTAAAGCCAAAATGGAGAGGCCATGTGTAAAAAATTAAGTACACCTTATGATTCAACAGGTTGTAGAACCCTCAGCTGCCCCTCACTACCCTCACACTTGGCAATGTTCCTCTCTTTTTTAATGACAAATCCCACAATCCCCCAGCCATCATAGCACCAAAGTTGTATGCCCTTCCAATCCACATCACCAGCAACTTCCTCCCCTTTTTCTTTTTTTTGGGGGGGCCTTAAGAGCATTTCTTGGGAAGGGAGACCCACAGCTCCCCACTCCCCGGCAGGGTGGCGCTCTTCTGTCTAAAACTCACTTGTGTGGCTGGCTGTTGGTCCATAATGCTTACTGGTAAGTTGAAGGTTCCCACCATGACGTAGCTGTTGGCGTTGCGGTCGTGCACCGTGGGACCAGTCCCGCGGGGGCCAGCGCCGTTGTGAGGGATGGAGGAGGAACCAGCTCCGGACGGACCCCCTGAAGAAGGAGACTGAGTCTGGGGAGGGGCGCGCTCCACCAAGTGAATGACTTTGCCTCCAACATCTGCAGCAAAGAGGGAGTTGTGTGTGAATTTTTTTTTTAAAAAAAATGCTGTGCCTTTGTTTCACCACCACCACCACCACAACACATCAAAGCACCTCAGTCTAGGTACCCGTCCATGGCCATGGCAGGACCAGGTCACAGAGACAGATCTCCCACCATCCGCGAGCACGCCCTGCCCCTATGCACGGACACACACACACCAACCGGTCCCCAGTTCAGAAAAGGTTGGGGACCACTGGAGTAGATGATTAAACTCAATCTCTACCAGCTATTTTCATGCACAGAATCAACCGCTCCCAAAGTCTCCTCATAACTGGGTTTCAGATAAACACTTCCAAAGGTAAATGTGTTGATGTGGAACCTTGCTCGTCAAAAGGATGGAGCCAAGGGAGAGGCACCGCTGACAAACACTGGCAAAGAAAGGCATTCGCCTCAGCTAGCAGCAGTTCTTAGTAGGTGCCCAAGCAATTCAAGAATGTGAACATTATACAGTGCTGCCATCTTACCAGACCTTTTTTTAGCAGTTCCTAGACTCTCCAAAAGACTTAGAAATTATGTGGGTTGCAGAACTCCTCTGTCCCAGCCCCTGTGGGAGGGGCTGGGACAGAGGAGCATAGGTCCATCATTCCCCCCCCCAAGCTCTGCATTTTGTTTTTAATTTAGATAGCTTTGAGAATCTGGGAGAGAACAGGCCACTAGAATTTTACACAGTTGTTGTACTTTAAATTTATGTCTCTCTCTCTCCCAATTCTAGGAAACACCCACCCACCCATATTCCACAACAACAACCCCTCACTATGACTCCAGCATTAAATATGACCCTTGGCCCTCTCTTCTTGGCTCCCCACTCACTGTATTCTTTCAGCTTCTTGTCATCTTGCAGGACTCTCCCTTGATAAATGAGGCGCTGCTTCTCAGAGGGGATGCTGACGGAACCCGCAATGTGTTCCTTGAATTCTTTCACTGTAATCTGCAGAGGAGGAGGAGGAGGAGGAAAACTGAAAAGGTCCAGCAGGAAACCACGGGGCTCCCCTGCACCACAAAACCAATAAGCACTAGTGCTTCCAATAGCAGGGACCACACCTTCAACCAGCCTTCCTCAACTTCAGGCCCTTCAGAGAGGAGGCAACAGCATGCCTCAAACCATGAGGACCAACACATCTGAAAGAGCATAAGGCTGCCCTAAATCCACACTCTGTAACAGCAGGTTCAAAGAGACCCCATTCCTTATGATCCTTGTTGCACCCTCTGAATCCAAGATATCTTTTTTTATGTTCCTTCACCTCAAATAATATTAAGGAAACCCTCACCCCAAATGTTCCTTCCTATCCTTCCGTGGCCTGGAATTGGGTGCTGCTGCAATCCAGGTCATCCACACTCCTGTCTTACTGCTTCTCGGTGACCTGCCTGCCCAGCAATGATGCCCGGCTACTGGCCATCAATCACCGATTACCTGTGGCTCAATCAAAGGCCAATCCATTCTTCCAGGGACCTCAAGGTACTTCCAAGCCACTTGCACCCGGGTGGGGGGATACCTGTACGTGTCTCTTACCTCTTCCTCCACGGTGAAGGTCCTTGTCTGAGAGTCCAAGGTCTTCACCATCACCTCAAGGCTCTCCGGCTCAGCCATGGCGCCTCGTCAAATGTTTTCTTCAATCCTCCTGTAGGACAAGAGAAAACAGTGGATTCTGATTCTCAGGGGTTTAAGCAAAGGCCTAGAACTCCTTACAAATCTGAAAGTATCAAAAGCCAAAAGGACTGGGAAGACTACTTTCTCAAACATCTTGAGACATTATTTCAAGAAAAGAACATATACAACATAGATGTGTCCTGCAGGACCAGGGCAACATCTTGCTTTCCAGCTCTTGTTGAACTGCCAACACCCACCATCCATCTCCCTGGGCTATAAAATTAAAGCATGCAATTTTGGCTACAATATACATCTCTGTAAAAGATAAAGGGAGAGTTTCATCATGGGTCCTTTAAAAAAAGTGTCTTGTAATAAGTTAGAGATATGACATGAATTTGTGGTTTATCCACTGCAGACCCACTTTCTGGACAGCTGATCAGAAATTGCATTCTCTTTTCCTGTGTGGGCATGTAAATATTACAGTCCTGTTAAATGATGGAGCAATGCAAAAATGGAGGGAGGGAGCGGAGAGAGGCTGGGATAGATGGACTGAGAGGAGCGTAGGTTCAGTTGCTATGGTCTGGTGGGTCTGCCTGCTTTTCCTTCTGTCTCTGCCCATGTTATTAGTATCACACTAAAACTGCAAAGGTCCATGTTCAAAATTTCCACTCAGCGAGACAGTCCCTTGGCCTGAAGCATACCATCTTCAGCCTCCTCACCAACCTATTTCGCAGGGCAGTTCTGAGGACAAAAGAGTAGGGTAGAGGATCACATACCAAAGGAGTGCTAAATATTTTTGTGTTTCTGAACACCCTTGGTTGAAAATAAGACAGGAAATATTCCCTGCTTCTGAAAACCTAAGCCCTCTTTTACTTTAACAGAGAAAACTCTCTCAGTTCTACCACACCATCTTCATCTACAATTAATCAAGAGAGAAACAAGCGGCAAACAACAGAAGTTAAGAAAGAGTAGAAACCAACCATACATGAAATACATATATCTCTTATCTCACACTACAGTATTCTAGTTTTGAATATTTAAATTCTATTCTTGAGAGGGAGAAAGGAACATGAGGGGTGCAGATTTTAAAAGCCTATCCAGCCCTAGCAAAGGTAACAAGCCACACGGATCAGACGCCTGCACCGACAGAGGACCACTGCCAGAGCAAAGGAACACGCCATTCCAGAGAGTCAAATCTGTTGGCAGCCCCAGCAGCCTGATTATTACCTAGTCTAGTTACACTTTATTACACTCCTCTTTTACTCCCTCAAAATCAATCAGGTGAGGTGTTCAAAAAGCCTGGCTAATGGCTGCCAGTTCTGCAGAAAAGCAACAAAGGAAGAAGGCACCAACAGCAGCTGCTGGCTCAGAAGTGAATAAGGGTCGGGACAGAAAATAATAAAGATGACATTCAAAATGGAAAACAAGAAAGTCATCCTTTTAAACTATCATCTTAACCAAGTTGAATAAAAATCACTGATTTTTTTAAAATCAAATTGATTTAACTCATGATTTAAATTTCTAAAGCATCATTTTTATTTAAATCTCTTTCTAAAATTTAAATCGTGATTTAAATCACATTCACACGGATCCTAACAAATACAGTGGTGCCCCGCATAGCGACGATAATCCGTGCAGCAAAAATCACTGCAAAGCGATTTTGTCGCTATGCGGAAATAAAAAGCCCATAGGAATGCATTAAAACCTGTTTAATGTGTTCCTATGGGCAAAAAACTCACCTTTAAGTGAAAATCCTCCATACGGCGGCCATTTTCTCTGCCCGGTAAGCAAGGAATCTGAGCAAAAACACAGCTGGCGGCCATTTTATTTGCCCGGAGGCCATTTTGGAACTGCCGATCAGCTGTTGGAAAATCATTGCTATGCGATGATCGGTATGCGAAACAGGGTACCGATCATCGCAAAGCGATATTTTCCTCTCTAAACCATCGCAATGCAATCGCAAAAATGATCGAAAAAATCGTCGCTATGCGGATTCGTCGTTAAACAAGGCGCCCGTTAAGCGAGGCACCACTGTAACTGCAGGGTTTAAGGGTCCTCAAAGGCACATGCATGCTGAGAAGGTCCTTCAGCGTCAAGCTGGAAGAATTTGATTTTATCACATCTTTAATTTCAACAACCCCAATCAGTGGGAGTTACGATATTATTTATTTAATTGATATCCTGCCTTTATCCCCAAAATGGGAATCTGTAATTGTGCTTACTATTAAATAGAACACAACTAAAATAAACATTTAAATTAAAAATAGCATTTAAAAAATGGGACACACACAAAAGTGCCAATAAGGAAATACAGAGCCCACTAAATAAAGTATACTTTTCTCAGCTAGGAAGTATATCTTTTGTTTACTCTTTCTGTTCTGTTTCAAGGAGGGATCAGAAACAAAACGAAACCTTTAAGATGACTTTCTCAAAGTGCCTTAAAAACATGCAAAACAAAGCCGATACAACAGCACATGGCAGTCTCATGCAAAGTTCTTTTTTTAAAAACTTTTTTTATATAAAATCCATCCATGATGATTTAATATCGTGCCACCTGGTTACAGCTTATAATCATTTGTTAAAACAACTACCATACATATTACGCTCCTAATCTATACAACGTCCTTCTAACCATTGATAGAACAAGTCCCATGTCTGATAATATTTTGTATCTTCTTTTCCTTTGATTTTCAGTGTTAGGCTATCCATTTCAGCACAGTCCAATATCTTTTTAATTGTTTCTTGATCTGTAAGTGTTTCTTCCTTTTTCTAGTACTGTGCATATATAATCCTCGCAGCTGTTAAAATCTGCTGTATTAAATATACATTTTGTTTATCAATACATTCTGGTATATTATACCTAACAGAAAGAACTCTGGCCTAAAGTCTACATGCTTTTTGATTATTTTAACAAGCCATGTATGTATTTTATTCCAAAAGTTTTTTACTTTATCACAAGTCCACCAGAGATGATAATAGGTTCATTTCTTTATGACATTTCCAACATTTACTTGACCTATTAGAATACATCTTAGACAATCTGTCAGGAGATAAATGCAATCTATTCGTGCAAAGTTCTAATTAGTGATAATTTTCCAAGATACTGTATGTTTAGCTTTCCCCAGAAACCTCACAGGCCATACCACCTGCATACTCTGTCCTTCTGGAAACATTCCCACACAAGCCATCCAAGGGTAAACCTTGTACCGGCTGTCCCCGGCTCTTGCCCAGAAAAGCTTATCCCATCAGAAACCTGCTCTTCCCTTCCCCTTGTCCTCTCCATGTTGCTGCTCCCCTTTTCTCCTGCTGTTAGCTTACCCATTATTCCTGCATATTCCCTGCCTGCTTAATAGTCAGGTTCTTCGCCTTTATTAAATGTTCATTTCTGAACATCTTAAATGTAATTACTTTCATTCTCTGCAATTGTAACTGCAAGTGAGATGAAGGAGAATGTCCTCCTTAAGGACTGTGAAGTATACAATGCTGCAAGATAATTTTCCAAGATACTGTACGCTTAGCTTTCCCCAGAAACCTCACAGGCCATACCACCTGCATACTCTGTCCTTCTGGAAACATTCCCACACAAGCCATCCAAGGGTAAACCTTCTTGTACCGGCTGTCCCCGGCTCTTGCCCAGAAAAGCTTATCCCATCAGAAACCTGCTCTTCCCTTCCCCTTGTCCTCTCTATGTTGCTGCTCCCCTTTTCTCCTGCTGTTAGCTTACCCATTATTCCTGCATATTCCCTGCCTGCTTAATAGTCAGGTTCTTCGCCTTTATTAAATGTTCATTTCTGAACATCTTAAATGTAATTACTTTCATTCTCTACAATTGTAACTGCAAGTGAGATGAAGGAGAATGTCCTCCTGAAGGACTGTGAAGCATACAATGCTGCAAAACTTCCTAGTGCCACACATATGAATTACAGTACAAGAATGGTATGACATACCTTGAGATGGAGAAGGAAATCTCCCCAAACGTGTCCCTTCTAGGCACCCTTAATATTAAGCACTACCAAATCCAGAAGAACTTAACAAATCTACATAAAATGGACTGAAAAGCTGTCAGTTTTTCACTGAGGGAAGATATAAGTAGCGTAACAATTCTAGCCTATTAGTAAATCCATTAAGAAAAACCTCTACCCCACTAATCTTCCTTTATGGCCTATATCAATCATTTGCGATCTAAAAGAAACAAACTAACATATAAAATTTTTCTGGTTTGTCTACCAATAGAGAATCCTAACTGGAAGTAAACAGAACCATCTTTCTAAGGAGTGCTAAGTACTGGCATATTTAGACAGAAAAGTAGGTAAAAAAGCAGAAATATTTATTGTCTCTAAAAACCATCACTTTTCTAACATATCATATACAATTATTCAAGAAACAATCTGTAAACAAGAAAAGTTAAGAATTTTTAAATGCAGTAAGATATCTAAAAGTAACATTAAAATAACAAATCTAGGTTGCAGCTAAACATTTATTTTAAAGCATATGGATTTGCTGCTGAGTTACTATGGCAAAGACTTGGGGTACGTAGGCTCTCTTCAGCATAACATAATGCTCACTTAAAATATTCAAGGGCCTAGCAGTTTTCAGACATACCATTTAGACTCCCTTATGAAGCTGCTCTTCTCCTGTTGAGTATAAAACAAGACAACCTACTCCCTCATTCATCTGGGATTAGATATCAAATCCCCACTCAGCCCTGAATCTCACCAGGCAGCTTTATGCAAATCACAGTCTCTCAACATAATCTGAATCTTAATCTGAAGTGTGTGACATTTCCCCCACACATCATCTTGACAGCCCCCAAGGCATTCCATGCATTTATAGTCCATTCTCATACATACATTAAGGATACCTTCTAAGAATGGACCTTTCTGTTCTTGAGAGATTTAAAATACAGACAATTGAAAACATGTAATAAAACGAATTGAAAATAGAACTGTATTAACCAGAAATGCTAACACTTCACTCTGTCCATCTCACCAGCACAAAATTAAAAAATAATCTGCAAACTGTCTTCCACGC